TGGTGCTGAGAAGGAGCACATAACTGTAGCTTCCCATTTTTGGTTTGCTTTGTGCTTTTTATTTGGTGTGAAAGGAAGCACAGAGCAGACAAGGACAGTAGCTCTTGAGGAGGTTTAGACATTGCCTTCTTTTTGTTGTGGTTCAGAGTTTCAAGGGCATCAGCAGCAGAGCAGGGAATGATTTTCAAAGGAGAGAGACAGCTGAGGACAAGCCCAGGGTGAGGAGATCATAGAACACTGCTTTTTTTTATTACCATTCATCCTTTCCTGTTTTTGCTTACATAACAATGTACAGAAAAGAGGAACCCTAAAGAATGTCTGCTCTCAAATAATTTCAAGCTAAAGAAGGAGCAATCCAACCACACAAGCCCATGATTTAGATTGATTTAGCTACTCCACAGTGAAGAATACACAGTATAGAATGACCCTTGCTTTCATACATGTTTCTGAACATCTTTTATGCTGTTGGTATATACCTATTTTATATTGATTTCTAAATATCTTAATCATTCAACCACAAATGCCTTCTTTGGCTCTCCCAACAAAACTTAAAAATTACTTTTTCATAACATATTTCATATAAGTATACTATAGAATGCATAAGACTTTCCATGAATAAATACAGTCAATAATTAACTACCCAGGCTAGAGAAAAGTCACAACTCTTAAGACACTATCTCTTTTTTGAGAGAAAAAATGGATTTTATGTTGTGTATATATAAATTACAGTATATCTATAACTCATATTAGAAGAACTCTGTCTTTCAGTGTTAACATTAGCAAGATACAGTTAAATATACTGTCCTTTTCTGAAGGACTCATACATTAAAAATTGTTTGCTATTTTCTGTTTCTGATTAATTTTGAATCACAAATTCTAACAAATAAAACTGTGTCTCATCGACTAATGGAAGTTTGACTCCTTAATTCTTATTTTTTACATCCTTCTATCACCTCTTCACTCACTTAATAGGAATTCTTCTAGAGATGGTACTGTTCCAAATTTATGCCAGGCTGTAAGCTAGTCTGCAATGTCAAATTACATTGGCATGGTGATGTCTTTCAAGGGTGAGAAAAAACCACAGTGATGAAAGATGTAGTTAAACTGACTTTGCCCTGGTGTAAACAGCACTAGGTTGATAGACGAATTCTTCAAATTAGTTAGCTCCTGTATTCTGGAGAGATTGATTACCTACAGTGACAGGAGAATTGCTCCCATAGCTGTGATGCCTACATGCAGAGCTACAGTGATGCGACTGCAGCATTGTGTGTGGTTGAAAAGTTTTAAGTGTGGGCATAACCTATGAAATGCTACTGTCATGTGCCTGTGATGGGAACAGTGTTTTAAGCTTCTGAGTGGTCAAAAGAAGATTGGGCTTCAGGAAGCAGCTTATTCCTTAGGGGGAGAGAGAAATGAGTGGATGTAGTTCCAGATTATTCTTTCCTACTCTTTTTTATTACAATATCACAGTGCACAATGCAGTGTCTCACTTGTCACACAGAGTACATTACATTTCTGATCTGATCAGCAACTCTACTAATTGATTTCTTGACTAAGTTAAGATGTTGTTAACTTTTCACCCAAGTGTGTTTGTAGAGCTGACTGGAGTCTCTAGGTGCTTTGTAATGTAAAAATATTATAATAAAATCCCTGAGTGGTTTGGATCTCAGTCATTTTAGAGAATGCTTCTCTTCACATGGGCTCCTATGACAGTTGAGGTTATCAGACCAGGACACTCAAGTTGACAGCTCCCAGAAGATTATACAAGGAGGCAGCTGGCAACAAGATTATCTTGGTGAGGGGTCCTTGGCTTTGAAATTCACTGCTGCCATAACCTTTTGGTTTTCTTAGAGCCTGGATCTGAACATGTTGCAAAAATCTGCCTGTTTCCCCTGACTTTCTCTGAAGAGAGGCAGACCTAAGATGGGCTAATAGGTGGATGGTAGAGACTTTGGTCAAAAGAGGTTTTTGGACACACAATACTGACACATGATGCATGTGGTGAAACACATCTAGATGGAGAGGTGTTGATCATGCATGGGCTCCCTGTTCAGCAAACTTTGTTAATCTATTTTATGTATATTTTATAAGGGATATAAACCTGATCTATTTTGCACTGATATAATTGGGAAAACTCCTATTGATTTCATTAGTAGTTGGATCAAGCCCAATGGGTTCTAAATGATCTATAGGCACAGTTTACACTACTTTAAATGTATCCATGAGATTATCTAAATTATGATAGCACATCAGCTAAACTAGGTTGTATTTGAAATTGATGTAGTTAATCTAGTGCAAAGCCTTATGGTTTGCATTAGAACAATACCAAAATAATCCAATTTAAGACTTCTTTCAAATGCTCTAAATCCCCAATGCCAGAGGTACCATTCAAAGTTTCAGAACAGAAACAATCTACAGCTAGAGATCCCTTGGAGAGAACTGTCCTACTAACAAAGAGGGAGTCATTCTATTTTACTTTTAAAATCTTGATGCCATAGGCATGGCCATTTGCTTAAGTGGTTGATGAGCTCATCTCGTTCAGTGAGTCTCCTGCTGTGGCCATTAGCAAGAGTTTCTGAATGGGTTTTAAAAAATGGATGTCTAAAACTGATTTGAAGGAGAAATACTATGAACTTCTGAAAATCATATCCCTTACCAAGGATCCTAAAATATTGATTTGGGAGCCCAATTATTTGCACTTTAAAAAAAAATTATTAGCACCAAGCTTAATGCTTATTAGAAAGTAAAATCACTACAGGTCAAACCTCATAAGTCTGGCATCCTTGGGACCTGACCAGTGTCAAACCAGTGATTTGCCGGAGCATAGGAAGACAATATTGTCTCGCAGTATTAACAACACTTCCATTGCTTACTGGGTTTGTAGAAGACATTTAGGGGTAAATTAGAGCTAAATAACAACTCAGAACACTGAGAGCCAGGACTGGTGGCTGCAATCAAACTTTATGGGACAGCAGGCAACTTGGTCACACCCATTATAAGTGGACATCCAGCTAACTAAAATCATGCTGGATCACGGGTGTTGCTGGATCAGAGAGTGCCAGGATAGAGAGGTTCAACCTGTTTTTTTGTTAAGTTATTAGTTTCATTACTTTACCATCTGACACCTGTAAATATAATAATTATGCCTTCATCATTCATTGATAGCGTTGAGTTCATAGAATCATAGGGCTGGAAGAGACCTCAGGAGGTCATAGAGTTCAGCCCCCTGCCCACAGCAGGACCAACCTCAACTAAAGTTGCTTCATTTATAAGTTGAAAATTAGGCTAAAATGGGGAAGGCTTAGAAATATTTCTGTCTTAAAAGCTGATCATGCATAAGGATAGCTTAGATACAGTAAATGACATCCATGTGCCAACTAAGTCCCAAATTGATTGGACTGCCATTGACAGCTGATAGACTTTCTATACCAGAGCTTTCATCCGTAGAGCTCAACCAATATTGACAATGGTGGGAATTTTTTGAAGGAATTCCTAATGTAGAGAGGATCACAGAGGAGTTCAAGAATGAACTGAGTGCTGGATGTGAGTGCAGAAGGTAAGATGAAGCAAGTCCATGGAAACCGTTACAAACCTACGGCTTAATTCTGAATTTTCCTCTGGCTTTTTTGGTTATGTCTACACAGAAATGTAAGCCTAGGCCTAAGCCCAGGCCCCACTTGTGTTCTCACACCAGCTGTGTTAATTTAGGGTTGAGGGTAGGGACCCCGGATCCCTGCAGGCTCAAGGGTACAACCTTGTGTTAAGCTGGGTGTGAAAGTATGTACCTCTGGAGTGAAGCCTGGAAGCTGTTGGAACCATTGTACACCTAAACCATTGACATGGGTTGACCTCTTGCACTGCTCTGCTGGCAACATACAACTAGCCCCCCAGGGGATTCTTCTCACCTAAAATGACAACCGCTAGTGCCACAAACCAACTGAGTTACCTGAGTGCTTTACCTAAACTACTCATGGACCAAAAATGGAGGCACCAGTCCATTTACAAGCTTTCCAACCTTTCACCCCTATGGGAGTATAAACCTAAAATGATATCATCTTGCAATGCAGCAGGATCTATATAGTGCAAGCTCATTAATTATTCCAACCCCCCATTGATGTGGGAAGATATATACCAGATTTTGTTTTTGGAGCGAGGATTCCTCACCACATCACTCACAAATACACTGGTTAAGATAAAGCAGTTTTATTATTTACAGAAAAATAGATTTTAAGTGTTAGAAAAAAAGATAAAAGTAGACTACCTAAAAATTATACTAAAAAGATTTAAATCAAAGAGTGTCTCACCCTGTTGGTTAGTACAAGCAGTTTTTAGATGTTTTATACATAGGCAGGGATCCTCACTACCAACCTGGGACCAACACTTCCTCTGTTTCAGTCTTTGATTCGTCAGTGTTGCTAAGCATTAAATTGTAGAGGTAATGATGTTCCTTGGTAATGTCTCTTCTCCCTTTTATAGTTTTTTTTCGTCCACATGGCAGGAACCCCTCCTTTTTTCCAAGCCAAGTTTCCAGCCCAGTTTATGGAAAAATACAAGTACCAAAATAGGAATTCAGTATCATGTAGCTTGGTCACATGCCCTTGTATGCCTTGCTGAGTCATAGTCCCACTGCCCATAGGCTTTCTGAGGTGTCCACAGCCTTTTCTTTGTCCGTTTTTTAGTGGATTCACTAATAGCATTGTTTTTCTTCTTTATTGTTGTATCTGAAAGCCTAGCTGTGAGTGTTACGCAGAGCAAACACATCTGAAATACACTTTAATAGCTAATATTCATAACTTCAAATATAAAAATAATGCATGCATACAAATAGGATAATCATATTCAGAAAATCATAATTTTTCCATAAACACGTCATATGACCCATCTTATACAAATGCTACTTAATCAAGATGCAACATAATAATAGAATATTGATATTATCATCTTATTACTTTGGTGAATATGCAATATCAAATGTCACAGTAGAATCTAGAGTCTGATACCTATTGTTTTCCTGTGAGTAAGTGGCCGCAGATTGGCTTGGGTTCCAAAAGTCTTCCAGATATATTCCAGAATTCCTTTGGGCAACCTTCGTAGTTCTCTCTGTGCCAGCAGTCTTTGGTGCAGTCTATTGCAAATGGAAGCACACACCCTTTGCCATGTCAACAGCTCTGGTCAGAGTTAATATATCAGCTGCTGAACTCTGGTCTGCAAGCACGCTATCAGAGAGCCTGCCGGATTTTCAATGGAGACCATAATGTAGTGGTCAATTGCAGAAGAACTTTGTACATGTTAGTTTAGGGGTGGTGAGGCTTGCATTCTTTCCCCCCTTTGGGAACATAAGCCACTTAAGATAAGCATTGTTGCCAGGGTAGCAAGAACAAATATAAGATAAGGGTAAAGGGCAAGAACGCATAAACAATGCTGTTTACCCTAAAATACTGATCACGTAAACAGGGCCAAAGAACAAGTAGATCCACAACAGAACCAGATCGATAACTAACAGCTAAACCCTAAGCCCTGCACGTAATGAGTAATTCCTGGAAATTTCCAAACTACAAAACAAGGCAGGGAAAACTGTATTTAAGGCTGCCTCAGAGCCTAGCAAATTAGACTTCACAGATGAGCTTTGAGTACCAGCGCCTCGCAAGCTGAGACAACCTCCCACTTTGTCCGCAGCCTGCCCGGGTTCCCAGGCTTGCAGGAAGGGACGTAAGATATGCCGCTTCTTTGTTATAATGCTCTTCCATTTATGGGGCACAGCTGTTAGCTGTCAGGAAATAAACTGTTTGTGTTTGACAGATACCTGTGTGCTGTGTTTTGTACTTTGAGAACCCAGTGTCGGACCTTAAACTTACTCTGGCCGGCTACACATTCAGAGGAAGCTTTTTGCAAGAAGAGCTGCTTCCATGTCAGAAGAGCACAGCCCAATTTAGGTGCATGCTGCCTTGGTGCCTTGGAACACTCAGACCAGAGTAGGTCTAAGTGGCTGCCCTGCAGGGAGGATCAACAGTAAAGTCCCTGGCTCGGCTCAGCTCAGCTAAGGGAGGATGACTCCAATATCCCAGACACTCTCCCTCCTTGCAGGGCAGTTGCCTGGTCCCACTCTGCTGTGTTCCTTTCTCCTGGGTTCCCCCAGTGCTGACTGGGGAGGAGGAACTAGGCAACATTCAGTCTGAGGGCAGTTAGCGGAAACCAGCCCCAAAACTTCCCCACAGCCTCATGAGGTGAGGCAGAGGCAGCAATAAAGGATCTATGGATGAGGGAGTCTTCCTAGAGCACAATTTCCATAGCACTATCATATACAGGAAACAGGGCGGGCAGTAGAGGTTCCCCCAGCACAATGCACTTGTGAGGAACTAGGCAACATTCAGTCTGAGGGCAGTTAGCGGAAACCAGCCCCAAAACTTCCCCACAGCCTCATGAGGTGAGGCAGAGGCAGCAATAAAGGATCTATGGATGAGGGAGTCTTCCTAGAGCACAATTTCCATAGCACTATCATATACAGGAAACAGGGCGGGCAGTAGAGGTTCCCCCAGCACAATGCACTTGTAGGGCTAGATTGTTAACACTAAAAGGTCTGGGTGGTGCTAGTGTTACTAGATTTGCCTGTTACTCTGTGGAATGCTCATTTATTAGGGTTACTCTTGTGAGAGAGGGGTGTTAATAATTCTATCAGCATGCTGCTTGTGTTACTTGTGTTCTCATACAAAGCTTTACTTCTCCCTTCTGCCAGTTCCCTCCCAGTGGAGCTCTCCTGCAGGAACTATGTCCCTACGACTGGGTTCTTCCCTCCCTAGAATCAGATGAACACACAGACACTCACATCCAATAACAGCACATCTGAGAGGACTAGTTAATGAGCACTCACAAGCTGATCCCTTATGTATCTCTGGACTCGGTAGGTTGGGTTGCACAGCAATGCTAAATTGTGACCCTCATGTGCCCTTGGACTCAGTGGGCTGGGTTAACAGCACTTTAAGGTGCCATCCTCATACGCACCCAGTGGTTGCACCTCCCTATCCCCATTTTCACATCATAGCTATTCTGCTAGTAACCTACTTGATGAGCAAACTCCACAGGATACAAAAGAGATACAAAAGAGATCTTTAGCTTAGATACAAGGATTGTTGTTGCAGAGTGAATGGGGAAGCCAAGACAACACCCACAAAGGGGAGGGTTGAAGAGAGAGAAAGAGAGAGAAACAGACAGCTTAACAATGTAATTTATTTATTTGTAAGTAGTAACCACAAATACAACAGTTACAATATTAAATGTAATTTAAATCTGATTACAAATGTTAGGCTGATTATATAATGTGGGATCAGTAGGCTATACCTGAGATGATGGGGGTGAAAGATAGATCTCACCACTCCGTGAAGCTTGAACTGATCAGAGTTCCCAGATGGTGATGGTAGCTTGGGAGCAAGTGTGTTGGAGACAGGCAGAGCAGTGCCCCAGTATGATCAGTGAGGAAAAGATGAAGTCCTAATGGAACTGATGCAGACTTTAGATCTAGGCATCAGAATACTTTACTTGAGCATGGGTGGGGCATTTGCTCATGGTTCAAGAGGGAATGCTGAATTTGCTTATGGGTAAACAGATGGTTCAAGGGAGTATTCTAAAGTTGTTTAGTTTAAGCTAGGCAATGGAAACTGATAATTCCTGGCTATGGCTGGTGCGTGTTTGAGGGAGCTCATAATGCAATTAGGCAGCTTCAGTATTTTGGATATCCATAGAGGATTTATTACTAAAACTGGTCAGATAATTACTCATCTAGGTGTGGGTTCATTAGCATCTGGAGCAGAAATTTCCCACCAGGCAGCGCTTTCCATGTCCCATAGTTCAGTGCGGTTCTTGCTTTGGAAGAGCTGTTCTCCATTCTGCATGTAAGTGAAGAGGTCTTTCTGTTCTATCTTTAATGCCGATGAGGCTGGGGGTGTTTCCTTAATCCTATTACCCTTGTCTGGAGGGATTTAGGTGTGTCTTCCTCTGCCTTTTCTATGTTTTGGCTTTGGTTCAAGCAGAGACCCTTGGGAGGGGGTCTTCCATAGTTATTGTGCCCTGACTCACCAAGAACACAGAGCTGATAGGCACTTTCGGATACAGTTACTTTGACTCATATCTGTGCACTGCAGCATGGATGCCTGATTCCTAGCTTCAGGCATGGGCAGAAAACTTTTAGGTTATGTCTAGACTACATGGCTCTGTCGCCAGAGCCATGTAGATTAGTTTACTAGACATACCCAAATGAAGCGGCAATTTAAATAATGGCCACTTCATTTAAATTAAAATGGCTGCTGCGCTGAGCCAATCAGCTGTTTGTCGGCTCAGTGCACTAGTCTGGACATTCCGCAGTCGACATCAAAGGCATTTGTCGACCGCCCCGGTAAACCTCATCCCACGAGGCATAATGGGGCGGTCGACAAATGCCTTTGATGTCAACCACAGAGCGTCCAGACTAGTGTGCTGAGCCGACAAACAGCTGATCAGCTCAGCGCGGCATCCATTTTAATTTAAATGAAACAGTGATTATTTAAATCGCCGCTTCATTTGGGTATGTCTAGTAAATTAATCTACATGACTCTGATGACAGAGCCATGTCGTCTAGACATACCCTCAGTGTAGATGTTATAGTCCAACATTCCCTGACCCATATTGGTCAGATGACTTGAATCTCACTAAACCTAGGCTTATATTGCTATATAGACATATTCTTTTTGCTGCAAAATCAATGGAACAGCCATATTAGAAAATCCCCCATTGTGTGTGAATCTCTAGATAACATAGGGAAAGCATAACTAGCTCCTGCACCACTCCCTTTGCAGTTCCCATCATAAAAATCTTGTGTGGAGGGAGATTGAGTTCTATGCACATGAAGTGTTGCTTGCATTGTTTTAATCCCTGTTTGACGGACAGCTCCTGAGGAACTGTAGGATGTAGGTTTCTGGAGCCTTGAGACTTCTGGGAACAGAAACGAGGTTGGGAGAAACACAAACAGCTCCCCACTTTAGCTGATGTAGCAGATTTGGGCACAAGTGAAGACTTGTCCATCCGCCCTGATTCTCCACTGTTTTGCATCTTGTTGGGTTATTTACACTTGCCCAGATTCAACTATACCCACCTTGTATAGCGCAAATGACTACATGAGGTTGAGACTGTGAAAAGGCAGGCCGCATCTGGAAGCTTGGAGGAAAAGTTGGAGGTATTGTGACCTTGCTTTCTCAGCACAAGAGAATAATCTGACCATGGCATTTGGATACCCTAAAACAGACATTGGGTGCCTTAAATATCCTGTGAAAAGTGTCAAAACTAAAAATATAATGAGGAAACTCTGCACTCTGTGGAAGGCTATGATAATGTGGTTATATCTTTAATATGTAAAGTAATAGACTCTTATTTGGAATTATTTCTACTGATAATTAGTAAACCCTCTGCTTCAAGCATTATTGAAAGTACTGTATTTTTCTTGTGTGGGTCCATATACATTAGAATTAACAGTGGCCAGAAAGCAACTTACCCTCAAGCAAATGAGGAGCAGGAAAAGCAAATTTACTATAAATCATCCAAAAAATGAAGCATTAAATCAGTGTATAACAGAAGGCTTCTATTTTCTATGCTAGAAGAACAACTATTTTGTAAATTACTCACAATGTACTTAGCAGTATTACAAAATCTCAGAACATATTTTTTATCTAACTCGATTTGAAATTAAATGTTTTCTTCTGTTTGGGAAAGTGCTATATTTTTATTCAGGTTAACCAATGTGAAACAAAATGTTCCTTTTCAATGTTCATAAAAATAAAAAATTTCAGGCAAAAGCAACTATTTCCCACAGAACATTGTGATTTTATGAAAACCACATTTTTTTGTCAAAGGAAAAAAAATCATTTTAACCGAAAATTCTCAGCCAGCTCTACTGTGAAAAGTGAGGGTGGCAGTCCTAGATCAATGGAGTCATATCTGATTACACAAGGTGATATAAACATAGAAGTTTTATGGAAGATATGTGGAAATACTGAGGAGTTGGTATTTATACAGTGAGCATTGATTGATGACAGGCTGACCAATGTGTAGTCACAGAGAGAAGACTGCCTTCTTGAGACGAAAGCTATTCACTTTTCTTTTTTCTCTGGGGCTACGTCTAGTCTGCATCCCTCTCCGATATTCTCGCAACTGTAGACATGCCCAAGGAGAAAACCTGAAAAAGAAAGTGAGAGAC